GGCTCACGCCTGTAACCCTAGCACTCTGGGAGGGTGAGGCAGGCGGATTGCTCGAGGTCAGGAGTTTGAAACCAGCCTGAGCAAGAGCGAGACCCCCATCTCTACTATAGAAAGAAATTAATTGGCCAACTACTATATATAGAAAAAATTAGCCAGGCATGGTAGCACATGCCTGTAGTCCCAGCTACTCAGGAGACTGAGACAGAAGGATTGCTTGAGCCCAGGAGTTTGAGGTTGCTATGAGCGAGGCTGACGCCAGGGCACTCACTCTAGCCTGGGCAACAAAGCAAGACTCTGTCTCAAAAAAAAAAAAACAAAACAAAAAAAACAAGGGTTTTAGGAACTCTGAGCCAGGAACTGGAAACAAAGACTAAATTTATTTTTCTTTTAATTAATATATCACAGTCTCATACACACTGCACTGGCTTTGTGTGGATGCTGGGGTGGGTAACAAGAGCAGTGAGGTCCTCCCCCCACACACACAGCTGAGGGCGGGCAGGGGAGGAAGGCTGAAGATGCCGGACGGTAAAGGAAGGGACATGTAAGTAGCTCATCAGGAACATCTTGCTAACAACTTAGAGATGATCTCACAAATGGTATTATACATAGCTCTGGTTCAGGTCACCAGATGGTCAGAACCTGCCCAAGGTGGCCCTTGGGGCCTCTAGGAGTGATTGGAAGGACCCTCCCTTTAAGCTGGACTGGGAAACCCTTCCACAGGACTCCACCCTGCCTTCCTTCCTCTGAAAATCACACTATTGGCTATTGTACTTTGTGTTGTAAATATCAATTATTCATTGTAAAAATTTGGGAAAAACAGATAAGCAAAAAGAAATTAAGTAAAATGAAAGAAAAAATAAACATCTTCTGTGGCCACACCACAGGACATCAGAATTTTAAATATTTTTTGTGCATCGTGGCAACCGTGTAGACTAGATCTCTCAGGGCCCACTGTGACCTCCCTCTTGTGTGCTTTTCCAAGGCATCTGAGAAGCTCAAAACTCCTTTTCCCAGCCCTTCCCAAAGCCAGAGCTGTGCGTGGCCCTGGGCTCTGACAAGCAGGAGTTTCCTCCCATGTCTTGGAAGGTATAAAGAAATCCATACCTTCCATACCATGGAAGCCATGAGAAATCTGAGCAGGCCACATGCACAGATCGGTTTTTCTCCAGCAGCATAGGTGGGAGCAAATGCTGGTGCTAGGCCGTGTGTTGGGGGAGGAGGGGTGAGTAGGAAGGTTCCACTGGGACAGTCCCATAATGTGTCCATGCCTCCTCCTAGCTGGGTTGTCCTTACTTTTGTGGCATCCAAGCATGGTTCCCTGGCCCTCCTGAAAATTCTATGGTGAAGCAATACCCTATAATAAATCCCTTTCTGCTTGACTAGCTAGAGTGGATTCTGTTGTCCATAAAGAACTCACTCGTTGAGCCTCAGCTTAACTCTTATCACCTCCTTCACAGCACTTACCACAATATGGAATTGGCTCATTTATAGATGTGTTTACCTACTAATGTCCCTTAATGAGAGAGGAACCACGGCTTTCTTGTTCACCACTTTAATGCCAGTGGCAACCCCATTGCAGCACTTGGTAAATATCTGTTGAGTGAAACATGAGATCATGTTCCAGCAGCCCCTATCCCAAGGGAGGGCAGAATAGCAGCTTCAGCCTCTTCTGTGGACCTCTTCTGTATGCCTTTTATGTGTACTGTACACCTACCCCCCAACTTTTGCAGAGAAAAAGCAATGTTCTAGAAGATTCTGGCTTCCACCCCTCATAGACTCTAGTGATTTAAAGATTGTAAGGGTGAATCAGCCTACTGTGGCCAATTCCCTGCTTCCCTCCAATGAGCAAAGCCCTGCTCTGTGGGGTATATGTGTTAAGTGGGGACAAATTTCTGAACATAAAAAGATGGACAAACTCAGGATAGCAAACATATCATACATTCATTCCACAAGCACTCAATGAGTACCTACTATGTTTGTATGCAGACAGTGCTGCAGTGTCTTGCTTCTGGGGCCCCAGACCAATCCCCTTTGGGGGCCACAACCTTCCAGTAAATGCCACTTTGTATCAGATTTTCTCCCTTTGGCCATCAGACTGTCATCTAAATTAGTGAAGCCTCTAAGCCTTAAATTATGAGTCAGGTGATGCCACTGTCACAGTACAATTGTACAATTTCTGGCACAAAAGCTATGTTTGAGGGACAGGTGCTGGAGTAGATTTCTGTGAAATGATTTGATAGGACTGGTGCTTAGACAGCCCAGCCCCCGTATGCCAGGCAGGTAAGAACCGTGACATCCATTAGCTCTGTGAAGGGGTCCCATGGCTCTGTGTCCCAACACAGCCTGGGGTGACAGGACACACACTGTGACCCCTGACATTACTGTTACACCTTTTGGAAATACAGGCAAAACCACTGTCCTGTGCCAGGTCTGTACTTGGAAGGAGCAGGCCCAGCTCCTTGGGGCCCCAGGGCTGCTGACCACACCCACTACCACCTGTCTCACCTGTCAGTAGGAGGGAGAGGGAGGCCCTGGGAGGGAGTGCTGTAACCCTTTCCTCTCCTCTGCTAGGTGACCTCACTGTCCTCCCCGTCCAGTATATGGGGGTAAGCAATGGTCTTAGAGCCCATTCCCAGATGGTTCATGGAAAGGCCCTCTTGGTTACAGAAATCAGAGCCTGCACACCTTTGGAACTAGGAAATAAATCTTTGATCAGATTAAAACCTGGGGATACAAAAATGAATCAACTACAGTCCCTGCCCTCAAGAAAATACAAGCCTGGCACTCTGGCAGGTGGAGCTGCAGATGGAATTGGAACCTCTGGCTTAAGTGTGGTCATGTTTCCCCAGTATTACCTCACCGAGCAGGGAGATCAGGTCTACTCGCTGAAGACACTTGACCCTATGGGACAACAGACCTGCTCAGCCCACCCGGCTTGTTTCTCCCCAGACAACAAATACTCGTGACAGTGAGTCAGCCTCAAGACACTCTTCAACCGTCTTTTGAGGGTCCCCTAAATTTCATGTTTCTTCTGCTGCCTGCTACCCCTTGGAGATTCCTTAACCAAAGGCTTCCATGTGTGAGCCATGAAGTCATTTTACCAGCCATGCTCTTCGGAATCCAGTCTCCTGATGGCCTCTGATCACACTTGTGTGAGGCAGTCATGGTAGCCGCCTCTTAAAGGGGAACAAGTGTGACTCCTTTTTTCTACATTTGAGATTACTGCCAGGTTATTAAAGATGAAATGATGTGAAAAAGGCCAAGCCAAGCCAAGCCACTACCGTATAGTGTAAGAAATGTTCCTTGCAGTCATGGAATGCTCAGATGCTCCAGGGCCCGCCGTGGGCTCTGCACAGGAGAGCAGCGTGGTCCTGCTGTGGAGGTGCCTGTGGTGCGGTGGGACAGGCAGCAATTAAGAAATCGTGACACTGCCCCGTGGTGACTGTTGAGGCCAGGGTAGTGCGGGGTATGTGGGTGCTGAGCAGGGAGGCCTCTCTGCGGTCCCGTAGATAGCAGCAGGACAGCAGTCGTAAGCTGGCAAGGCCGAGGGAATGGGGTGTCTGGGGTGGGTGGGGGTGGGGACAGGAGATGAGCTAAGAGGTTGGCCCTCAGGGGCACGTGAGGACCTTGGCTTCTGTTTCATGGGCAGTGGCAGCTACTGAGGCTGTTAAGCAGGACACTGACCAGGTGGGCACCTGGCCACAGTATGGGGACAGTAGAGTCCCCCAGGGAACATCAGGGCCTGCAGAGGCTAGGCCTTCCCCCTTCTCGGTGCTCTGTCAGCGGGGCGCAGTGACGCCTCTCGGACACTTCCAACAACAACAGGCTGACTCACACCGCGCCGTCCACTTGTTGAGTCAAAGACCCAGCTGGGAAGATCGTGGCCTTCCGCTGCCCCTGACAGATGACAAAGGAACTGCTGGCTGCTTCCCGGAGGGCACGTCTGAAGAAAATCCTCGCCCTCAGTCCCAACATCCGGGCTGCCTGGGCCTCCCCTGACTCGCCCAGCTGACTCGTCACAGCGGAATGATGAGATGAGACACTTGGGCCCCCAGCCAAGTCCTGCCCCTCACCAAGGCCCGGCGGGGAAGGAAGGGTCAGGGAAACTTTCGGGGCTGCCCAAAGTAGCCCAGGCCAACTGAAGCCCCAAAGGCCTTTTCTCCCCAGGACCCTTCCTTCCCTGACAACCTTCCCCCTCACCCAGCCTCTTGACTGTCTCTATTTACTCATTTTTAGGCCTCTATGATCACATAAACTCTCTCTCTTTATTTTTACTGTAAACAGAGAGAGCGGGAAAGGAGCTGGGAGTCCCAGTATGCATAGACTCTGGAACCCACCTCTCCTAAGGTCCCTCCAGCTGGAGTGGTCACGGCAGAGAACCGTCTGGGGAACACCTGTGGCCCGGTCAGGCCAGATGCAGCCCGCAGTTTGGTTGTGGTCCTTGCCGAGTGACCTGTGTAGGGGCGAGAAGTTCAGGGAGAGGCCAGGGGTGAAAATAAATGAAAGTCCCCGCTTGTAACAGCTGTGGATACCCTGGCTCAGACCAGGCCACCATCCTCGGGGCTTCTGGTCTTCGCCTTCAGGTACGCAGAGAGTTCCGTTATGTGCTCCGGGGTGAAACAGCAAACCTGCCCGATTCCAGGACAGGATATATTTTTTGGCCGCTCCCAAGTTCCTCAGACTTCTGCAGTCAAGAACATGCACAAGAACGTTCACTGCAGTATTTGTTACTAGTTGAGAAGAATTAGATGTTCTAGAATCAGAAGACCTAGGGTAGCTAGGGCTGCCATAACAAAGTGCCACAAACTGGGTGGCTTAAACAGGTATTTATTCTCTCACAATTCAGTCCAAGATCCAAGATTCAGTCCAAGACGTCCAAGATCAAGGTGTTGGCAGAGTTGGTTTCTTTTGAGGCCTCTCTCCTTGGCTTTGAGGTGGCTGTCTTCCTCCTGTGTCTTCACATGGTCTTCCCTCCGTGTGTGTCTGTGTCCTAATCTCCTCTTCTCAGAGACACTATTGCTGTTACTAAGGACAGGAAGGACAGGATATGTCTTGGCAGGGAGAGAGTGACAGTCTATTGTTAAGTGGAAAAAGTAAGTCACAGAACTGTAAGTACAGCAGGATCCCATTTACATACCTAAAACCCAAGCGTTTATTTTCCTATTTGTGCTTAGGAAGACTTCTCACGGGGATTAAGGGTGAGGGTGGGTTGCGGGGACTTGTGTACGGGTGGTACATTGCATTACTGTTCTCAACTCTTTCCTCCCTTCCTTTGTCCTGGGACTCTACCCCCTCTCCCACTGCCCCAGTGATGTTGAACTTGGCCATGCGACTTGCGTGTGCCAATGGAATTGTGATGGACATACCCACGGCAGGGACTTTACATGTGCTTGCTGGGTGTGGCTTGGTCTCCTGGGCTGCTGTCACTCTGTGAGAAGAACGGGCCTTAGTGAGTGGCTGGTCTGAGGAGAGCACAAAGACAAGCAGAGCAGCTGAACCCAACCTGAGCCCAGCTGATCCACAGACCAGTGAGCCAGAAAAAGACGTGCTCGCCTGATGCTGAAGAGGAGTCAGACACAAAAAGAAAAATTGCATGATTCCACTTACATGAAATATTTACAATAGGTAAATTCATAGAGATCAAAAGTAGATTAGAGGTTACCAGGGACTGGGAGAGGGGCAGTGAGGAGTTATTATTTAATGGGTACAGAATTTCCATTTGGGATGATGAAAGAGTTTTGGAAATAGGTAGCGATGGTTTTACAATGCTGTGAATATACTTACAGCCACTGGATTTTACACTTAAAAACAGTTAAAGTGGTAAATTTTATGCAACAAATATTTACTACAATTTAAAAAATAGCATAATATATGCAACCTATTTAATTGAACACTTTTTTATTTTTAAAATATGGAATGCTCACGATTCTTGCACAGGGACCATGCTAATCTCCATATTGTTTTATTTAGCACATGTGCTGCAGAAGCGAGCATTTATTGTACACTTTAAATGGATGAATTGTATGGTATGGGAATTATATCCCAGTAAACATGCTTTTAAAAAAAATAAAAATAAAAATAAAAATACATGCTGGTTGCGTAAGCCACAAGTTCTGACTGGTGCAGAGATAGCTGTATCATACAGTATGTATGTATGCATATATTTTATAATGATTACATATTATCTGTGTAATAGAAAATATGCAAAAACAGAATTTGTTGGGTTCCCCCAATCAGGCTCTTCTTTCCTGTTTTCCTCCCCGGTGGTGGCACCAGGATGTTTCTGGACATTGCTCATCCTTATCTTAAGTGACTCTTGGCTTCTCTTGGACAATTGACCAGACTCAAGTCCTGGCTGACTCTGTGGAATGTGTCTCCACTTGGCCCCCTCTAGACCTCTTCAGCCACCTGTCACCGCCCTGAGCCTGGGTTGTTGCCTAAGTTTCCCAGGTGGCCCTTGCCTGGATCCCTCCAGCACCACAGAAGATGAATCACTCTCAGGTTTCCATTAAGATCCCCTGCTCAGCCAGCCCTGAGCCCTCCACCCAACACACACACACACACACACACACACTTTCCACTCTGTAAAATGGGATTACAACAGCCTCTACAGCCTGTCAGATATAATCTAAACCCCATCAAATGCCACCTGGACATGTACCCCAGAAGTACATGAAGATGTCCCAGGAAGAACTTTCCTAAAATTGATCGGCTGGAGAGAGAGCTGCTCTACCCCACAGGATCGTGCTACTTAGCTGTGAAAACTTCCAGTACTGCAAATAAAGGGAACGTTCAATTCAAAACATTGATAGAAGCTGAGAAAGTGAAAGACTCAAATGACTTACTAATTATTGTGGCTTCCGATTCAAAACTGAAAGAGGACCTAACCATGCTGATAGATTGATGAGAGTAATTTCTGATAAGTGATTCTTAGTATATAACTTGAAATGTGTCTAAGAGATTGTTTTGGTGCTGCAACAAAACTTTTTCCATTCTTTTTTACTTCTTCATGTGAAGGTTTCTCAGACTTGATATCTCTAAATAGGAAAAACAGGAATAGAATTAATGCTGAACCCCATCTCATTCTAGCAAAAAGTAACAGTTGTCCCCCCAGACATGAACTAAGAGGGATAAAAAAGTCACAGCCATATCATGGATATTCATTTTTGACATTTTCCATTTAATAATCATTCTTCAAATCTGTAAATATATTTATGATTTTTTATTGTGTACGAATAAAAGTAAAATGTTCATCTAGAAGAAATTTTGACACTTAGAGCCTTATGGTAACAGAAAACAAAAAAAATTTCAACTTTTGCACATATTTTTGCTGCTGAGAGGCAGGCTAGGTGACCAATAAAAGCATTCAAACATAAAATACGTATTATATGAGGATAAAAAATAAGAGGATAAAATTTTGTAGGGAGAGAAGAATGGAAATATGAGTTCAAAGGGGAAATTAAATGTAAACTTTCCAAATGTTAGAGGGTTTATTCATGTCTATTAAAAATAGATTATGGTTTGTATGGAATCCGTAGAGCATTTAGATTTCATTGGGCACATTTAAAAATGTCATCTACTCTTTTTTTTTTTAAATCAGCATTTACAACATACTGGAAATTACATCCTTTGCAACCGTTTTAACTTATAATGAGAAAGTTTAGATATCAGCTAAAAGAGGAGGTACACATATGTTTTTCAAAATAATTTTAGAAGATGCGTGTGGGGAAAAACGTTGGGAAACTGCTGAGCGGGAGGGAGGGTGATGGTTGGAACTTGGACAGGACGCCTGATCTCTCTGAATTTGCGTTTGCGCGTAGGTGAAGTGACTGGCAACCGTACCCAACCTTTCATGCTGTTGGGGCAGTGGGACTAAAGGAGCCTCCAGGGGGCAGCGCTGAGCGGGAGGAAGGACAGCTTTCAGCCTCTGGAGGAGGGTGGGGAAGGAGGCAGATGCGGAAGGAAAGGAGGATCAGGGTTTCGGCGAGGAGGTGTCCTCTGACCTGGCTGATGAAGGCCAAGGAAGATCTCCGCGTCACAACAAAGCGGCCTGAGGGGCGGCAGGGCGTGCCAGTGGGTACAGCCGGTGCAAAGGCCCAGAGGTCGCATGGGCTGCTTGTGGCGGCTCCTGCGCAGGCGCGGCCTGAAACCCTTGGCTGCCAGTCCTCGGCCTCGGTCACTCACTGTGACTCCGCAGGACCCTCTGTATGCAGCCCCACTCCCTCGCCTGCCACCCTGCTGGCATGTGGCACTGACCACCTTTTACTCCGGACTCAATCGGGGCGCACCCGGCCCCTGGTCGCCCCCAGAGCATCTGAGAGGTGCCACGCGGGCCTCATCCAGGCTGTTAAAGAAGCATGTGTGTGGGGTGTGTGCGGTGTCGTGGTCCTCAGAGGCTCAGGGAAGTCTTTACAAATTGGTGGCACGTGTATTTAAAAGATGGAGGAGGCACTTTATGGAGCGAGATATTCGCACCGTGTGCCCCCACCGCCCCCAACTCATGCGCCCTGCACCTTCCATAAAAGGTCTGCGTGTCGGCGGCCCCTCAGCGTCGGGGCCAGCCTGGCGCCCTGCTTGCGGTGGTGGCGCCCTGTGACCCCAGTCCCACTGGAGTAGCCGCGGCCGGGCCGGAACCGCGCTGGGCGGCCGCCACCTCTCCGCACAGCGTCCCCTGGCGGCCGCGGGGCTCGGCCGGCCGGGAGGTGACGGCGCCGACCGGCCCAGGGCTGCATGGGCCAAGTCCCCAGCGGCAGCCTGCCCCTCCGCCTCCTCCTCTTCCCCTCCTCTTCACCTCTCCCCTTCCCTTCTTCCTTTGCCTCCCCTTCCTCCTTCCTGAACTCCTGCAGTTTGTCTTTTCCATTAACCTATTTAAACATTTAAATAGGTTATAGATGAACATAATAGGTTATAGATTAACATAAATAGGTTATAGATTAACATAATTCAGACATCTAAAAAATAACTATTCAAAGGCTTACAGTGAAAAGTCTTCACCCCAGAAAAACAGCCAGATCCCCAAATTGAGGGACATTATACAAAATACCTGACCCGTACTCCTCAAAACCGTCAAGGTCATCAAAACCCAGGAAAGTCTTGAGAAACTGTCACGGCCAAGGGGAGTCTAAGGAGACTTGGCCGTCGGAATGTGGGCTCTCACATGGGATCCTGGAACAGAAGGACATCTGAATCGAATGGACTTTGGTCAACGTATCGACATTGTTCATTAACTGCAACAAACGACCCAGACCAATGCAAGATGTTAATAATATGGGAAACTGAGTGCGGGCTTTATGGAAGCTCTTTGCAATTTCTCTGTGAATCTGAAACTGTTCAAAAAAGTAAAAGTTTAGTTTTTCAAATCTTCAACTCTGCCCCCAACCATGCAGTTTTTCCATCCCTCAACGTATTAATCGTTGAACTTGGTTGTGTATCTGTAAGTTTTGTGGTGGTGGAAAGAATGTAATGGAAGGTCAAATCCACACTAACAAAGTAGCGTTTATTAAAAGCGCTCCTGGGCAAGGTTCAAGGGTCCCAGACCTGAGGCCCCAGAAGTCAAGCTGCCCAGGACTGCGGGCAAGCTTTTATAGGGGAGTGGGTCATTGTTTTGGGCTGTCTCTGAGGTTTATGCAGGGTCCAGGCAGGATGTTCTGCACCCAGATGTCTTCCTGCTTTGTCTGGGTGGGGTGCCTGGGTCAAGATGTTCGGTTGGTAACAGGATGGGGTCGGTACAGCTGTTGTGCAAGCGTTGCAGTCTTGCATAGCTTGGCAGCACAAGAAGGGAGGGGGTCAAAGGAAAGGGGGCCATCGGCCTTACAGTACCCTTCCAGAGATTCAGTGTGCAAATACTAGCAAACATCCCCCCGTTTTACAGAAATAGCAGCACGTCCCAGACTCAGTTCTGCAATCGTCCTTCACGCATTTCATATTACAACATGGAGCATCCCTGGGTTTTGTTTACAGCCTGGACAGACTGTCTTTCCTGTGGCCAGTTCCCTGTGGATGGACACTTGGGCTGCTTGCGTTTGTTTTTTTTTTTCCCCCCCATTCAAACATGACTTCAGGGAATAACCGCGCACGTGGCTTGGCAGTCGTGGGACTGCTAGACCCGCGTGGTCTGTCTGTAACTGGGGTAGACAGGACCCGGAGATCGGTGTGAAACTGCGACACCTGGGTGACACCCCAGGTCCGCAGCGCACAGGGGCCGCTCCCAGGCCGGGAGGGGTGGCGGGGTTACCGCCCCGACCGTGGGGGCGGGGAGCCTCCCGAGGGCGGGCGCGGGCACGAGGTCGGCCCTCCCCGGCCCCTAGCTCCGGGCTCCCCTGGCCGCACCCGTCGCGGAACCCCCACGCCTTCCTGCTCTGGGAGGTCGGGCGCCCCCACCCCGACCGCCCGGCCCAGGGGCTCGCCCTAGACGCGGCGAGGTCCCCCTCCCCCGAGGGCGGCCTCCTCCCCCACCGCCAGCAATTCCGGTGCCTGCCGTCCAGACTCGGCTCTCTCCGCGTCCTTATGCTGCTGTTTGCCCCGAAACAGCCTCCTCACCTCCCCGGTTCCGGGCGGCTTAAAGAACTCCCCTCCACGTTTTCCAGGGCAGAACCTCAGGTCTCACGGAGACGTCGGCATACCGCACAGCGAACACCCGCGAGCGCGCCCGGCCCGCATTGCCGCCCCCGCTCGGCCGCGCCGCAGCCCCGCACGCCCGCACGCGGGAGCTCCGCCCCACTTACTTCTACGAGGCGAAATGTATGCGCCGCGAAATATACAGACCTCCAGTGTGCCGTGGTCTGGCTGATTTTAGATAGTACGTGTAAGAGTATTTTTTAATAGTACTTTTTAACATGTGTTGGGGGAAGAAACCCTTACCCGTCTCCGTCTGAGACGGCGACACGACGCGTCCCCTAACGATGAACGCTGTTTTAATGCGCTCACGGGACGCGCTGGGAGACGGTGGGAGAAGGGGAGGCGCCGCCCGGGCGCAGGGCTGTGGCCGCAGGTGCCCTGCCCCGAGCCTGCACGCCTCCAAGAGGAGGCCCGGCCGAGGAGCTCCGGTTGGCGGCGGACCTCGGGGCGGCTGGCCCGGGACGCGGCTGGGGACGCGCCGAGTCAGGGCGTGCGCCGGCCGGGGCCGCGCGCCTGCGGGTCTGTTTCCCGTCTCTGTGCACGGGCGCCCCCGCCCCGACGCCTAGAGGCCGGCGCCGTCCCAGTGAACACAGCACCCAGCACTGCTAGCTGCCTCGTAAGTGTCTCACGAGCTCACGAGTGTGCAAACGCTTTGTAAGCGCTCTACAAAAGTAAGAGTTCGCAACAGGAGCAGGAAATCCCCCGTGACCCCCTGCCGCGTGCAGCGTCGGCAAGCCCTCGGTGGTGTTTGCTGACAAGACAGGCGGAAGAAGACCGGGGGGCCGGTGTACAGGTCCAGAGGGCCGCCGGGGACTTAGAATTCCAAGTGTCCAGGATCAGGGTTACGACAGTTCTAGAAGTAAAAGTGCGCATGCGTCATAGGAGCGCTGCGCAGCCTCATTATTATCTAGGAAGAGTAACCTCCTAGGTGCCTCGTTAGCGCAGTAGGTAGCGCGTCAGTCTCATAATCTGAAGGTCGTGAGTTCGATCCTCACACGGGGCACAATACTTTTGTTCGCTCTCCGCCCGTTACTCTGCTGGAAAGTCTGGTTTTTTGTTTGTTCGTCCAAGTCGGGGGCTGATGTTAAGGGGAGACTTAGGGGCAAAGGCTTTTCTGGGCCGACGGAACCGGGACCCGGGGAGCCCCTAGGGAAACAACCTGCCAACACCACCGTCACGCTGCTGCAGGGGGTGCACGGGAGGGAGCACCCGTCAGGGCCTGGAGCTAGCCCTGGACCATCCGTTCTGCCCGTGAGCGCTGGCCGTCGCTGGACGCGCACAGCCCCCGGTGCGGCCGGGAGCCCGGGTGCTCACAGTCCGGGAGGGCGCCGCCAGCGCGGCGAGTTCGAGGCCCTCTAGTGAAGGCAGCAGAGGAGAGGCTTGGGAGCACAGTGTCCGGCGGGGAGGGGGGCAGGATTGATGAGAGGTCGGACAGCGGAGGGCACTGAACCCGTCGTGAGGAGTTTGGGCTGTGGAGCTGGGAAGCTGGCGGTTCGCGTCAGGGTCTAGGGGAGAGGGCTCCCAGGGGAGTCGCGCAGGGGGCACGCCACACGCCAGGGGCTGTGTGGAGACCGCATCTGAAACAGGTGCTGCCACTGCCTTCCTCACCCATTCAGTCCCTGATATCCAGCCATTCTCAAAGATCCATCTCCTTTCAGCGCAGGTCAAATAGCAAGGTAAATTGAGATGGGATAGCTATCACCACCCCTTCATCTTTCAGCTTTTTGATGGTGGCACTAATCTCTACAATTCCCCCAGGGATAACTGCGATAATATTTTATACTATTTCATTCTTAGGCACAGTGCAGTCAATTATCAATAGCTCCAAATCCTTTAATGCTACTACTTCCCTGCTGCCTGTGACTGTAAATGGGTATCTGGTAGATTAATGCTGCCACTTGGCCTCTGCTACCACTAAGTCCCATTGTCCTCACTGAAACCAGCGGGCATATCAGTGGTAGCATCTCTCACCATCACATATGGCTCATTACAGGAGCCCCCACAGAGCTTTTCAATTTTGCAGATACTCCCTCACTCAGGGCATTCATGAAGGAAGTGTCTTTTGGGCCCAGAGCAAAGGTGAGTAAGAAGGCCACATGCGATAAATCCACTCCCATATTCCTATCTCCCTAATCCTTTGGATACCTTCATCTACATCATGCTGGGGAAATTCTGGCATCTCAATCTCATTAGAGGCCAACATTGAGTCCCCATTTCTGTCAATCACCCACATAAACTACAGAGCCACTTCCAGTTGCATGAATGTGGCAGTTAGCAGGTCAAGGCTTCTCACCTCCAAACTCCCTCTTTAGTGCCTGCTCTGCAATGCTGGACTGAATTCTTCAAGCATTTCTCCTAGGGTGCATGACGCTGAGCTGTCAGCAGAGGCTGCTGGCGGATGCCGCAGGAGGAATGGGGCTCCTCTCTCTGGCTCCAATCTGTTTTGCTTATTCTTATCCTGCTTCAAGGCCCATTAGTGGTGCGTGTGCACTGGGGACATCCAGTGGTGCTCTGCCCCAGCCATGTGCCCAGAGCACACACACACTCTCTTCATGCCTTCACGGCTCCAGCCCAATGACACTTCACTGGAGTCCTCCCAATACGGACACTGGCATCTTCCAGGTCTCAAGCCCGCAGCACCACCCTGAAGCACTCTGAGCATCTGCCTGCCAGTCTTGGTTTGCCTGTGTCCAAGGGTGGTTACCCGTGGCCCTCTGAACACAGATAATGTGCACGCTGGGCTGTATACCATTCCTTACAAGCAGGGGCCTGATGCTTGGACTCCCTGTGCACTGCCACTCACCAGCTTGGATTGTCTGTGCCCAAGAGAATTGTTTCCTGCTGCCTGGGGACGTGGACTAGCTGTGGCCTGGACAACTCTGAAACGCTCTCCAATATCCAGTGGTCTACAACCCCTTTCTCTGATAGGTCTGAATCTCAGCCTTGGGGAGGGAGAGGGTCTCCCAAGTTCATTCCTTGAGTTCCCTCCCTCAGTCCTGGATAATCTTTATAGCATTCTTTATAGCTGCTCCCTGTCATAGTTTAGTGTGTCTTTATATTAAACCTTACCCATTCTAATTATTGTGTGGCTTGTCTCTGAATGGACCCAGACTGATATAATCAGATTAAACATTAAATCCAGATTCTCTGCTAAATGTACCTAGTCCTTATTAGGCACCCAAGTCCTAAGTAATTTATTAATAAATTAAGCCTTATGCAGTCCTTGCAGTCACCAACTGCTATAATGGTCAACATGTAATCACTGTGGAAAGGCCTTCAGCAAATGCTCAGGTCTTGCTCAACATCAGAGTTCACACAAGAGAAAAACCCTATCAATGTAGATAAATGTGAAAAGGCCTCTAACCAAGCCATAACTTATTCAACACCATGGAATTCATACCAGAAAAACAACACTCTTTTAGTAGATTGAGGATATAATGTCAAGAAGCAGGAAGAGATCATCAGAAATGTATTTTATATATTTCATTAAATGTGATAACCTTTGAAATGCCAACCAAACACACATGACCAAAGAGATTCAGCTAAGTATCTGAAATCTGCTAAGGTAGTGACTTCTTCAAGATTATCATTGGGAGAAATGCAGGCTCAGAAAACTGGAAGGTGATAAAGAGAACTTCTTCATTGGGTTGAGAGTATTCACAATGTACTTTCACTTAATGAACAAAAACTTTTTAAAATAATGAATACTATTAATATATAAAAAAGAGGGTTTTTTTTTTTGTGTGTGTGTGTGTGTTTATGTGTAGCTGCAAAAACCTATCTGAGTAGATGCAAATTCTAGTAAAAGAGGACCTGAAACAGAGGTAAAAACTCAGCAACAGCCAGCTGATTCTGCCTGGCAGAATCACAGTTTTTAGAATTTGAATGCTTTTAGGTGAGCAAGCAATTTCTAGTTCACCAAAGTTCCCATCACACCCTATATATTGTAAATCCTGTGACTGCTGTTCCCAAACACACACCACTTTGGCCCATGAAGGGATGTCTGTAACCAACTGAAAACATACAGAAAATTAATTAGGCTGAGAAAACCACTCTTGGGAAACCAATGCCTTGCATAGTGCCAGGATATCCTTTAAGGACTCTGCCTATTGGATAAGAGAAAGTACTCTGCTTACTGAAAATATCTGGTTCAACGTAAGGTTATGTCTTGTGACCCCAGAAAAAAGAATTATGACCATGTATTGCATTCTTACTATATGTCAAGCACTGGACCAGGAACTTTATACACATGATCTTATTTAATCCTCTTATCAGGTTCATGAGCTATTTCTACCTTCCTTTTAGAAATGGGGAGAGTAAGGTTGGTGAAGTCATGAGCAGCCCTACTGTGGAGCTGCGAGGCAGAGAGAGGGAGAGAGACGGAGAGCTGGTGGTGCTGCTGGGAGAAGCTGGAGAGGCAGAGTGAGAGATGGGGATGTCATGAGTACAGTGGGTCACTGCACAGAGCAGGCCCTGCTGCCGGGGAGCCAGGAAGACTGGAATTTAGGCCAATCCACACTGTCAGGGCTCCACAGTTGCTCCCGAGATCTCTCAGTCCAGGTTGTATACTTGTAGAGATTGTTTCCTGTTTTCTATTTCTCCATTTATCTTTAAAATAAACCATCATTCAACTAAAGTTACCGAAGTTTATGCTGGTCTTTGCAACCTGAAAGCCTAACATAACTTTAATAGTTTCCAAACATTTTATTGTGAAAAGTTTAAGAAGCCATTTACAAGCCAAAAATTAGAATTAAATAAAACACATAATTATGGATACATTTTTCTGTACAAAAGGTGGATCTTTATAAGAATTTTAAATAAATAATCTAAAAATCAGTGCCATTGATTGCAAAATAGGTATCTCTGTGACTATCTTAAGGCAACATGCCTTCTATGTAGCCAAAAGACCAGGGGTTTGACATCTGTGACGAGCCTGGGCGGTGAGTCTCTGGCGAAGATGTCTCACTTTCTTGATAAGATCCTGTCCCGTAGTGTCCCAGTCTGTCGTTCTTCGATTTAAAGAAACTTGAAAACAAAATTTAA